AGCAGCCAGCAGCTGAGTGAAGAAAAGCCTCTAGCTTCAGTGGGCTGGGAGGAGGAGGCAGAGCTGTAACCAAGGTTCAGGGCTTTCACACAGCCCCTAGAGCTTGACACTCTGAACTTGGACTTAAAGCCTCCAAACTATGAGAGGATAAACTCCTGTTTGTTCAAGCCATCCCATTTGTAGTATATTCTTGTCAGTGCAGCACTAGGAACCAAAACACTCCCTTAGAAAGATCAATCACAGGAGAGTATAAGGGCAGTATTTACACAAGGAAACAGCTCAGGGGCCACAGAATGCACAGGAAAGGACACAGGGAAGAGGTAACTATAGGAAACAAGTGGGAAGAAAGCTGTTATATTGTGGGGAATTGCAGTCAACCTCATGAAATGAAATGTGCATGAACTGCTGAATGGAAAATGAATTTGCTCTGTAAACTTTCACCCAATTCACAAAAAAATTAAAAAAAAAAAAAAGTTTCACTCTTCCCTGAAGCCATGCTGAGTCCTCAGTTAACAAGGATGCAAAGAGAACATACTATGTATGACAATGGAGATTTTTTTAAATATTTCCCTTCCTTTCTTTCCCACCTCCTTTTTTTTTTTTTTTTCCTCTCTTTTCCTCTCTCTCTCTCCCTCTCATCTATTCATAGTAGACAACTACAGAGACTTCATAAAAATTTCCTCCAATGCATATATTTACTCCAAGTAATGTTGTAGATCATCCTGGAAAACATGAAAACTTTAACATACAGGGGACAAAATTCATCTGTAACATCTTCTGCTTGTTCTAATGTTGTGCCTTAATCACCCATTAATTTAATGCTTTGGAAGTAACAAGAAAATGCATGGCATGATGAACACATGGATGAGTTTCTCATTCTATCAGTAGTGAAAGAAAAGTAGACTTCAACAGATACTCAGTGGACACTGAGAAGTGGACAGTGTAAAGTATAACCCACAATGATAGGGACTTTTTGCACCTATGAGATGTTTAATTTGACACCATGCATGGGGTGGGCAAAGGTAACAAAATTTGTTCATATGGGCTTTGGATACACACAGTTGCATACACAGTCAGTGAAGTAGATTTTATCTTGGGCCTTCATTGATCATTAACAAAACCTAAAAGAGCTTCTCGCCCAAGGCTTTATAGACCTGGTTTAAAAAAATACAATAGCTTGTCTCCAGAGACCATACTTTACTCAGCTTTCATTAGCCAAAAAAGGTCACTTTTCAAAACTGTGTGCCTGAGTAAATAGGCATTTACTTGACTGGAGTTGTAATAAATGATAATAATGTCTCCCATGCACTCAGTGCCTTGAGGTGTCCATAGCACTGTTTGCACATTATCTGTTTGATTCTAACACTCTCAGTGAGGAAAAGCAGGGACAGGTAATAACCATCCTTTATCTACAGATGGGACATCTGGGCCACACAGAGGTGAAGTCATTTGTCCAAAGTACTCAGCTTAGCTAGGCTTTTAGCACCTACGCCTTCCAACTCCAAGAGCCTATTCTTTAAAGATCGTCCTGCATCTTAGCGACACGTATGATGGATGATTTACCACAAAAACGAAGACAGAAAGCTGATTCAACTCAGCAGACCTAGGTTAGAGCCTCTGGGGTGTTCACTCCTAGAGCTGACCAGTTCCCAGGTCAATGTATCAAGGTCATTTCTAAAATGACCTCTTAAAAAAAATAAAAACAAAAGGACTCAAAGTATTATAAAACTGGTATGGAAAACAACACTCAACAGCTTATACTAACTGTGTAGCACACTAGCACAAACAGTCAAGAGCCCTCTGGCCACTAAGCTGTTTGACAGAGCAGGTAACTACACCTTTCTAAACCTTAGCTTTCTGAAGTATACAAGGAGGTCCTGGACCAGATGACATCTAATATCTTTTATTAGTTCTAATATTAAGTAATTTTATGGTATGACCACACTCAGCACTCCTCAAGTAATAAATACTATTTTGAAAATACATCAAACATACATCTTGAATGTTCCTTTCTGTTTCCTACCTAAGGTTATACCACCTTTTCTACCATAATGCTACTACCTCTGGACAAAAACAAGTGTCTCTGAATCACTGATATTACTTGGCCAGACTTTCTGAGCATGATCATCTCCCAGGCTCCAGTCTCACCATGTTTCTTTTTTCACTGTTCACAACTCAGTTATTTTAATTCACACAAATATATACATGTATGCAGGCATTCACACATTATCTCTCTCTGTCATTCCCTACTTTCTCAGTCTTTTTACTTCCCCTGTCATAGCTTAGTTTCCTTGGAAGCTTTTTCTCTCTCTTTCCTTTCTATTTTCAAGTTAAAGAAAAGTCTTACTCCTAATGGAAAATGAAAAGAAAATTCACCATCAAGTGGAGTGGGGGAAAGCAACTGTTTTGAATTGAGTAAGTTTCAGAGGGAGCTCTGGTAACAGTGCCTAAAGCACTTGACTGCTAACCAGAACGCTGGCAGTTCAAACCCACCAGCCACTCCTCGGAAGGAAGGTTGAGCAATCTACTTCCGTAGTGATACTACCTTGGCAACCCAAGGAGGGGTCGCTATGAGTCAGGTGTGACTCGACGGCACATAACAGTAACAACAACAAGTTTCAGAACCATTTACTGCAAATTCTGGTAAAGGCTCCAAAGTCACTTTAATTCAGAATTAGTACACAAGTCTTCATTCTTGTTGATCTGTATCTTCTTCCAATTAATGCCACTTTTTTTCCCCCCCTCCGAAGTCAGCAGCAAAAAATCTTCAACAAAATGAGATATATCTATGTCCTATTCAGTTACCTGGCTTCTGTGCTACTCCCCCCTACCTGAACCTCACCATTACAAATATACAATACTCTGACTTCATAGAAAATAAATTGTTTACAACATTATTCCTCAGAAAAGAACTTCTGAGTTCCATATACCAATTATAATCTCCTATGTCTTATCTTTCTAGCATTTAAAAAGACCTCTACTAGGTGTTCTGGAAAACACAAAGCAGCACTCATCCTTCCTTATTATAAGTACAATATATGAAGTTTTTATTTATTTTTTTTAACTAACTTTTTGTTGTGATTTCAGTGAAAGTTTACAGAGCTAATTGGTTTTCCATTCAGTGATTTATACACATTTTGTTTTGTGACATTGACTGTGATCCGCACAATGGAACAGCACTCTTCCTACTTCCTCCCTGTGCTGACCATTTCTCTTGGTCCTTCCTTCCTGCCCCATCTGCCTTCTCAGCTTTACCCCTGGGCAAATGGTGCCTTTTTCTTCTAGTGAGCACTTATTCCCTGGTGTTACTGTTTGCCTTATAGGCCTGTCTATTATTTTTCTGAAAGTTAAGCCACAGGTTACTTCAGTTCCAGGACTGAGGAGCATCTAAGGGACATAGTCTTAGGGGATCCATGAGTCTCTATCAGACCAGTAAACCTTTTTACGGCTTTTTTTTTTAATCCCACTCTATCTGGAACCTCCCACTGTGCTCCCTGCCAGAGTGGTCAGCAGTGGTAACCAGGCAAGGCACCATCTAGTTCTTCTGGTTTCAGGCTCATAGAGGCTGGGGTCTACATGGCCCACCAGTCCTTTGGACTAATTGCTCCCTTGCATCTTTGATTTTCTTCATTCTTCTTTGTTCCAAACGGGGAGAGACCAAGAGTTGTACCTTAGATGCTCCCTCACAAGCTTTTAAGACTCCAGTTAATACTCACCGAAGTAGGATGGAGAACTTTGTCATTGTGGACTATGTCATGCCAATTGACCTAACTGTCCCCTGAGACTACAATATGAAGAACATTCTTAACTTGGAAAGTTATTTTCCTTTTAACAGTATATCATGATACATTTGTAAAATCATGCCTCTTTAGATTTAAAACATGAATATCTAAACTAATGGACAGTTAATGTTAAGGAAATGATAGAACAAAGCTCATATATAAGAAAATGGCAAATAGTTTACTATTAAGCTGGAAATCTCTCTGCAAATTATTTTAGGAGATAAGGATGGACTAGTTAAATGAACATTTTATTTATACATCAGACTGCTTTTCACTGAAAACCACATAAAATTAAATACATCTATCAGCAAATACATGTGTTCTAATTCTTCAAGGATATTAATATAGCTTAACTTTTTTTTTAAAGGATCGTTTGATATAAAGCCACTAAAAAATCAATTCTTTTCAAATTGCTTTTAATCCATATAGCATAGAGGATAAAGCCTAAAACATGAGGCCCCAGTGGTTCAATGGGAGAATTCTTCCCTACCAATACACCTTATGCACAGCTGCCACCTATTTGTCAGTGGAGGTTTCTGTAGCTATGATGCTGACCAAGTTTCAGTGGATTTTTGAAGACTATGGTGGACTAGGAATGAGGGCCTAGTAATCTACTTCCAAAAGCCAGCCAATGAAAATGCTATGGATCACAAAGGAACATTGTCTGATCCACAACCAATCATGGAGATAGCACAGGACTTAACATTTTGTTCCATTCCACATGGGGCGATCAGAAGTCAAGGGCTACTTGATAACAGTTAACGACAACATTTAAAACCAACAGACCACACCAAACCTGAAAGCAGATTCATAAACTGGCAAAGCAAACAAAGAAACACTAAATACTTCTCCCCATTTGTTTTTTAAAGAGGCATTAGGCATTGGTGATGCAATGGCTGCATTCTCACCTCTCATGCAGGAGACCTGGGTTCAACTGCGGGCCAATGCACCTCATGCACACCCACAACCCATCTGGCAGTGGTCACCTGTGTGTTGCTACAATGTGGAAAGTCTTCAACAGAGCTTCCAGATCAAGACAGGAAGAAAGGCCTGGAGATCTGTTCCAAAACTCAGCCAAAAAAATGCTATGGATGACAACCAATCATGGGGACGGCACAGGACCAGGCAGCATTTGTTCCATTTTGTGCATGGGATTTTCAGGAGTCAGGGGTGACTCCATGGCAATTAACAACAACAACCCATAAAAGTCACTCATACCTTAGAAGAGTCTGAACTTTTCATATATGGCTCAGCACAATGTGTGATGCTTCCCTGGAGGACTTTCTCAATTCTGGCCACAAGAAATATATCTGGATGAGGACACGTCACTGAAAATATTCCCTAGAGGACAGACAATTTTCTTCAGTGAATAGAATTCACAGCCTCATAAATAAATAAATAAAAAGCGCAAACAGTATAGCTATTAAGTAACACCAAGTGCCAAACTAGTTAACTGATTAAGAGTTCATCATCTCAAAACATCTATTCAATAGAGGAGGCAACTTGGAGAACTGCCATAGGGCACTACAAAGTCCCATCTTGGCATTTCCCATATATTTACATCATACATGGAAGACCATTCTTAGTAGTGCTGTCTTCGGGTTCATGCCCCCACCTGCTTCGGGTACTGCATGGCGGCCTCCTGAAGGATGCCCTGGAGTGCTGGTGAGCGCTGCCCGCTGCCGTTCATCAGGGATGGGGGTATGGGAGCCAGCATCTGTCTCACTGAGAAATGGTTCAGGTCCACATGGAAATCAGCAGAAATCTTTTGGTTGTACTTTATATCAAACAGGGATAGAGTAACAAAGAAAGGCTCTACCTGAACAAAACAAAATAATCCAGACCATCAATATTTCTCAAACTGTCAGGAAAAAAGAATGTTGCCATTATAGGAGAAACTAGATCTATTTATGATCGCTGCTATAAATGACTGATAAGTGTCCCATCCTTTGCCATACAGAGGTTATAATTTTGGGAGACAACAATAATTATATTATGGTTTAAGTGCTTTGCTACTTAATCTATACTCTACAGATAACAGACAGCTGCTTTCATCAAATATCTAATTTAAAAATGGTCCCCTGGAACACTGAGTGTAAACCCACCATCCTTCTTCTTTCTCAAAAATATCCTGTCACCACAAGTTAACTGATTTTCCATACAGTGATTTAACCCTTGTACGTCTTTGATACCAAGAACTAGAATTTCATGTCCTGCAGCTGCACTGCAACTGGCACTTTTGAAAAACTCTGAATATTTGGGAGCAGGGGGGGAGTCTTTTATTTTGCAAAAGGTCAATTACATTTGTAGTGGGTCCTTCTTCATTTTCAGCAACACAGCATTGTAAATTGAAAGACAAATCATTGCATTTGACAAGAATTCGTTTTCCAAACTTCTCTTCAAATGGCTTCACTTCTGGTTCAGCTGATGAATAGTCAAGCTTCTTTAAAAGAAAATGCAAACACAGACATAATATGTTCCCATTTAAACAATCCCATCACAAACATATCCTAAGGAAAATGTCTACAATATGAGAAAGCTACATAGACTCATTTATTTGCAATAGTGTCACTTTTAATATTAAAAAACAGAAAACGATGTAATTTTAGAATGGTCAAGTAAATGATGGTCTAGCTACTTTGTAGATGATAATACAGTGCTTAACATTATGGTTATGAAGTCTATGGGAAAAAAACAGAAAAATACTTATGATTAAAGTTGAATGGGGAAAAGGAGCTCCATAAAAAAAAATAAAAATGAATAGGCAGAAAATACAGTAGGACCTTTGCCTTCTCCAAGTAACCTATGAACCTTTGGGTAACCCTGAAGGGGCTCACTGCACAGGAGAGTTTTGGATTTTGCTGGGACACAGATGTAACTTGGGCACTGAAAGGCTTGTATTTAGGACAGAGTCTAGGCTAGTCAGAAAGCATCACCCAATGAGCATATACAATGATGATTATTTATGCTTATTGTATGTACTTTGTAGATGTGAGTGGGCTTGAGAATGTCTTTGGATGAAACTCTCTCAATTATCAAACACCTATTGACTATCAGTAGGGGCTCTGGTGGTGCTGTGGTTAAGGCACTGGGGTTGCTAACCAAAAAGTCTGTGGTTCAAACCCACCAGACTCTCCACAGGAGGAAGATGAGGCAATCTACTCCTGTAAAAATTTATAACCTTGGCAACCATAGGGGAGTTGCTATGAGTGAAAATTGACTCAATGGCAATAGGTTTGATTGACTATTAAGGAGCTCTGGTGGCATAGCGGTTACAGCATTTGACTGCTAACCAAAAGGTTGGTGGTTCAAACCCACTAGCCACTCTGTAAGAGAAAGATGAGGCAGTCTGGGTCCATAAATATTTACAGCCTTTGATACTCTATGGGGCAGTTCTACTCTGTTCTATAGGGTTGCTACAAGTCAGAATCAACTCCATGGACATGGATTTCACATAGTGACTATCAAATACTAACAACAGTTGTGCCACAGTGTTGAGATTATAGGTTGGTTTTCCTCTTTTCTCAATTTCTTTTTAATGTTGTATTGTTTATCAGTCCAAAATAAACAAATAAGCAAATATATAAATAACCCTGTCAAAAGTTTTCTTCCCTCCCACTTAGTTGCAAATTTATAAATATTTCTTACCTGGGCATCTGGGTCCAAGTAAAAAAGTTTAACTCTGCTTTCACTTTTCAGTTTGATTTCTGCTTCTCTGGTACTCTGATAAGAAAATAAAAATCACACTTAAAAAAATCTTAAAAACCTAAAAATTTCTTAAGGAAATGTCCAAATATGTGCCCAATCCTGAAAAGCCAACCTCAAGCAACTCTGCCTCATCTTAAGAGTCAACTTAGTATCAATGAACAAACATATACTATCAAATAGGTAGCACATAATGTGTTTTAGAAAAAGAAAATTAAAACAATCCTTATCCTTATGAAGCTGACAAACAACTGTAGAGTCATAAGTAACACAAAGTAACACATAAGTAAGTAATACAAAGAATGGAAGAGAATAATTAAGCATTCAGCTCTCAAAAAAAGCTTCATAAAGTAATGGAAAAAAGAGTGAGTTTCGAACGAAGAGGTTGCTCTTGTTAGGTGCCATTGAGTCAGCTCCAACTCACAGCAACTCTATGTACAACAGAATAAAACACTGCCCCGTTCTGTGCCATCCTCACAATAGTTGCTATGTTTGAGCCCATTGTTGCAGCCACTGTGTCAATTCATCTCATTAAGGGTCGTCTTCTTTTTCACTGACCCTCTATTTTAACCAAGCATGATGTCCTTTTCCAGGGAGTGGTCCCTCTTGACAAATCCAAAGTTAAGTGAGACAAGGTCTTGCCATCCTCACTTCCTAAGAACACTCTGGTTGTACCTCCTTCAAGACAGATTTGTCCATTCTTCTAGCTGTCCATGGTATATTCAATACTCGTCACCAACACCATTACTCATCTGTGTCAGTTCTTCAGTTTTCCTTTTTCACCATCCAGCTTTCACATGCACATGAGGTGACTGAAAATACCATGGTTTGGGTCTGGCACACCTTAGTCCTTAAAATGACATCTTTGCTTCTTAAGATTTTAAAGAGGTCTTCTGCAGGGGAAGGAACATATGAACATCCCAGGCTCAATGAAAAGGATGTATAGTATGAACAAAGACACTGAGGCTAGAAATAATCTGAGATCATAGGAAGGATTTAGAGCCCTGTCTAGAATGAGGGCACAAGCAGGAGAAAATAAAAAGCAGTAACTTTTGAATGGAGGAAAGGGGAAGGAAAACTATGGCAGATCTTAAAGGGCAGTTTGTGTGGCATAAATCGTTAAGTGCTTGAATACTAACTAAAAGATTGGCAGTTTGAACCCACCCAAAGGTGCCTCAGAAGAAAGGCCTGGTGACCTGCTACTGTTGAGAGGTCACAGTCTTGAGAACTCTATGGATCAGTTCTACTCTGCAACAGAGATGTTTCCATAGGTCTGAACTGACTCAACAGCAACTGGTTTTGTTTTGTTTTGGTAGAGGGGTATTACTGATTTATTCAATAAATATTTATTGAGAGTGTATTATGTTATAGGCAGCAGGAATACAAACATGAATGAAAAAAAGTCCCCTTTCCCAAGGAACCTCTGGTGGAGCTATGGAGTATAAAGAGACAGTAAATAGGACAAAAGAAAGCATAAGATGTGGTAGGAGCTAGCATGGAGTAGAAGGTGGTAGTCAGGAAAAGTGTCCAAGAGGAAGGCTCATATTAAAGGACAATGACCATTTGGACAGGAAAGAAGTGCATTCTGTGAGGCAGCAACAGCAGGTAAAAAGGTACAAGTCACATCTGAGCAATGAGCATTCATTACAGCTAAATGGTTCTCAGTAGCAGTCAAGCATAAACTGCACCAAGACCCATAACCGAATGGTTGTCCACGAGGGAAAAAGTGATGAGAAATCAGTCTGAGATTTGTATGCTATGAACTGAAAATTCAGTCAGAATTAAAACAAACTAAAAACCTCTGCAACAGAATGAAATAACCACATCTGCATTTCAGAAGCATCACTTGAGCAACACTAAGGCAATGGATTAAAAAAATGGGAGACTAAGGAGCTCTGGTAGCATAGCGCCTAAGGCACTTGACCGCTAACCAGAAGGCTGGTGGTTCAAACCCACCAGCCACTCCTCGGAAGGAAGGTTGAGCAATCCTACTTCCGTAGTGATACTGCCTCGGAAACCCAAGGAGGGGTCGCTATGAGTCGGGGCCGACTCGACGGCAAATAACAACAAATAACAGGAGACTACTATGAGAACCCAGGAGAGTATGAACTACTTAACGCAGTTATCGATGGGTCTGGAGAAGACAGAAGAGAGATAAAAGTGCCAATTAAGGAGACAGTAAATCAAAACCATTGCCAAGAAGTTAATTCCAACTCATGGTGGCCCATGTGTTACAGAGTAGAACTTCTCCAGAGGGTTTTCTTGATTGTAATTTTCACAGAAGCAGATTGCCAGGTCTTTACTCCAATGGTGCCACTGGGTGAGTTAGACCTGCTAACCTTCGAGTGAGTTGTTGTTGCCATTAGATTCGGACTCAGTAGCAGCTAAGCATAAAGTGCACCACCCAGGGACCTAACAGAAAGCTAAGACCCATAAAAATCCTACTACATTTCTAGTTTGTGTAATCTGTTGAATGGTGTATCTGTTAACTGAGATAGGTAATTCAGGAAAAAGAGCAGGTTTGTGGAGAAGATGATAAGCAAAATGGAGTTTATCCTTTGTGGGACTTCCAAGTGGAAACACACAGTAGACAGACAGATGGGACTGGAGCACAAGGTAGAGATGATGGCTAGAATTAAAAATGTGGAAGGCATCAGCATCAAGACGGACAATCTAAGTCTTGGGAGTAGAAGAGATCCCATGGGGGAAAGTGTGAAAAATTAGTCTGAGGACAGAATCTAAGGGGCGCCAACACTGGAGGGATGGACAGATGAAAAGCCAGGGAGGGGAAAAAAAAGACATACAGTGACATTCATGGAAAGCGGGGATGTAGGATTCGGAATAGAAAGAAAACATAGAAAAGGAAAAGCTTCTAAAACATTCATAATATAGAAATCATCTCCAACCTCATTATTTCTCATGCCTCATGCCTCCAAATCTATATCCTGTTCTTCCTGGCATTCAGAACTGTTACTCTTCATCTCCACTGTTAGGTCCATAGAGTTAGAATAGAATGACCTCTCTCATCTGCTACTTTGCCCACAGACTATGAGTCACATCCCAGCACTCAGTGGGCAGTGACAGCCAGAGCAAAGTAGAGAAGGCACTTGTTTTCCTTGTTGGTGACTGTGAGATCTACTATTAGATTTCTAATTATTGCTAATGAGAAATTAAACACCTTAATTTTCTCAGCCATGTAATTGTTCTAATAGGTTTGTAGCAATGAATGAAATTCTATGATGGCTCCATCTAACCAACAGTCTATCTAGCAACATGAAATGACCAGCAGAATGGTAACTGAGAAACTGTGTTCCTGTCATTAACTAGCTGAGTCCACTTGGGCAAAGCCATTTAGCCTCCTTGGATTCCATTTCAATTTCTGAATAAAAACAACAAACTTTCTCTTGATAGTAATTATGGGGTCTTCATTTTAGGGAGGGTGAGAGACAGGCCTACAAATCTTCTGTTCATATTTACAGGGTAAAAGATGTGGCTGTGGCAGGCTGTTACAGACTGAGTTGTGTCCCTCAAAAACATGGTGAAATCCTATCTCATGCACCTGGGAATGTGACTTTGGGGATTTAGCGTTTTTCTTTCCAGACATTATCAGTTAAGGAAGTTACACCAGAGTAGGATGGGTCCTAATCCCAATCCTATCTGAATGGGTTCTTATAAAAGAGAAGGACAAACAGGAGAGTCACACACAGGGGGAAAGCAGCATGTAAGCATCCATCTACAAATGAAGGAATGCCAAGAAACCCCTGGGGCTGCCAGACCCTCAAAGAGACAAGCACAAATCTTGCCCTAGAGGACACAGAGAGAGCAAGCATAGCCCTTTCTGTACCCCTGAATTGACAATTAGTCTCCAAAACTTTGAGAAAACAAATTTCAGTTACTTAAAGCCATTTACTTTGTGCTATCTACTACTGTAGTGATACTGCCTCAGAAACCCAAGGAGGGGTTGCTATGAGTCGGGTCTGACTCGACGGCACATAACAACAACAACAACAACAACAACATTTTTGTTATGGCAACACTAGGAAATTAAGACACAGGTTCTCTCCATGTGGGATATAGAACCACTTCTTTATTTTGTCTTGCCTATTACCTATTCTAATTTTTCACATTAAAAGAGCTATAACATGTATAAGTGGAATCTACTAAACAGAATCAAAAGAATTTGTTTTACAGTGTATACTGCCCATGACACTTCCCATTAGTACAAGGTGCTACAAGCCACCAATAATAGTAACACATTCTACTTCTGAATCGTCTGCTTGAGTCTTTCAACAAAAACAATTACTATGATCATAGACACTAGAATAGAGCAATGCATTCTTAATGTACATGCAATTCCTGATGCCTTTCTAAAGGATTCTTGTGTCAAATTGTCTGTGCTTAAAGGAAAAAAAAAAAAAAGAAAAGTGTTTCCATTGAGTCAATTCTGACTCACAGCGACCCTATAGGATTTCCAAAGTTGTAATCTCTATGGAAACAGACTCCCACATCTATCTCCGACAGAGTACTGGTAGGTTTGAACCTCTGACCTTTCAATTAGCAGCTGAGCACTTCAATACTGTGCCACCAGGGCTCCTTTGACCGTACTATGGGATAAGAAAGGAATAAAATGAGAATGATTGTGGTGCACTCCATATAATTAAAATTACAAACAGTAATGCTAACTATTTTAAAAAAATTGTACATATGTATACACATACACAAACACAAGGAAAAAGGAGAGGAGAAACAGCTCCTGTGGCACAGTGGTTAAAGCACTCGGTTGCTAACTGAAAGGTCAATGACCAGCACTTTGCAGGAGAAAGATGTGGCAGTTTGCTTCCGTGAAGATTATAGTCTAGGAAACCAACCTTATGGGGCAGTTCTACTCTGTCCTACAGGGTTGTTATGAGTCAGAACTAACTCAACAGCACACAATAACTACGTATGTATCTATACACACACACATACATATATACTCAAACATATGTATGTGTGTGTGTGTGGGGGGGGGGAGATGA